GTCTCTGGGGTCTCACCAGGATCTATCAGACCAGCAAACTTGGTCTTTTTTTTTTTTTTTTTTCAAGATTTTGAGTTTTGTTCCATATTGTTCTCCCACTCTAGCCAGCATCTCCTGCACCAATCCCCCTCCAAGTGGTTGACAGTGGAAGCGAGGCACCATCTAGTTCTTCCGATCTCATGGTCATATAGGCTGAGGATTGCATGGTCTACCTGTTCCTTGGACTGATTGTTTACATGTGTCTTTGGTTTTCTTCATTCTTCTTTGCTCTGGATAAGGAGAGACCCATTGTTACATCTAGATGGCCACCTGCAAGCTTTTAAGAGCCTAGTTGCTACACACCAAAGTAGGATATAGAATAGTGTTTTTGTGTAGTATGCTAGGCCGTTTGAGCTTGATATCTCTTGAAACCATGGTCCTGAGCCCACAGGTCTAACTACTTGCTCCTTCAGGGTAGCTGGCTGTGGCCAAGAAGCCACCACAACCTTGCCCCTTGTCAGCTCTACTATATACCTGGACATCCTTATAGCACATACAAATATGCATGTAGAAACATTGTATGCTAACCCTATACATGGTCATGGGCACACTATCCCCTGCCTAGACATACCTGATCATTCAGCCTACAATACATGTTATTATTATTCCTTATACCTTGTCTTTGAAAAAAACGATGATGATGACATTAAAGCAAAAATTATGTTTGTGTGTATGTATATATATAAATATTCACACACACACACACAAAGACACACATATTAGGCAATTAAATACAGATAAGAGATCAAAATAAAAAGTTATTAGAGAAGGGTAAGAGAAGGGGGTAGGATGGTTTTAATCAAAATCTAAGCTCAGAATAGCGATGCTACAATTTAATATTCCTTGGTCAAGTTGGCAGGAGCTCTGATGGTGTTGTGGTTAAGGCATTTGACTGTTAACCAAAAGGTCGGTAGTTTGAACCCACCAGCTGCTCATGGAAGAAAGATGAGGCAGTCTGCTTCCATACAGATTCACAGCCTTGGAAAACCAATGGGGTCACTATCAGTAGGAATCAACTCAATGGCAGTGAGTTTGGTTTTTGGTTGGAGTTTGGTCAAGCTGGGAGATGATCTAGCTTTCAACTGTCATACATGTGCACACATAAAGAAATATAAATTAGAAAATTAAAGAATAGAACTATATTCTTCTTTGATACTTCTGGGTAGTATGCTTTGTGTACTTAATTTTCTTCTAAGAGAGAACTTAGGTACAGGCACAAGAAATGAGCCCATGTGTCCCTATGTTCTATAAACATTGACTTTAGCTACCATGTATAGCATTTTTGACATAACTAAGGTTTAAACCAGAAGCCCGGGAGATCACCTGTGAGTAATGTGCTCCCTTAAACAATCAATTATATGAGACCAAAGAGTCAACATTTACCCAAAAGCACAGACGAGAAAGGAAGGAGGGGAAAGGAAGCTAGAAACAGATAGAATAGAATGGAAATAATGAGCATGTTAAGATACTGTGATAACTGTAACCAGTGTCACAGAACAATCTGTATAAATATTGTTAAATAGGAACCTAATTTGCTGTGTAAACATTCACCTAAAACACAATAAAATATTAATTAAAAAAGAAAACCTATTCAGGGGACAGAAAATAAGCACAACAGATTTAACAAATTAAAATCGGACAAATTTAAAAAGATCCTGGAAGCCATTTCCAGTAGTCTATTTGTATCATATGTATGATTTATAAAGGAAATTATAACACAGTCAAAACCTATAGTACTATTAAATTATTTAAAATACTGATCTGGTATTCAAAGAACCATTTTATAATCCCCTTTCTGAAAGTAATCTACAATATACTTAATAGATATCCAATGTTTATTCAAAATTAAATGAAATACTTAAATTCTAAAGCATTGTTTCTTGACATAGTATTGCTCTAACTGTATTTGGAATTATTAGGAAATAATGCATTTAAATAGAGACATTTAAAATTAAATGACACAAACAATTTCTTAGACACATGTAATTTAATTTTTAAAAACGCATCTATAAAATGAGAAAGGCTTTTACTTCTGGATACCAAATAATTGATTACGGAAGAAATAAGAACTTTTTCTATGGGAAACATACAAATTAGCCTCTCTTAAGCATTTATGGGAGCTCTGGTGGTGTAGTGCCTGAGGCATTTGACTGCTAACCAGAAGGCTGAGGTTCAAACCCACTAGCCACTCCTTGGAAGGAAGGTTGGGCAATTTATTTCCGTAGTGATACAGCCTCGGAAACCCAAGGAGGGGTTGCTATGAGTTGAAATTGACTGGATAACAGTAAGTTTTTTTTTTTGTTGTTTTTGTTTAAGCATATAAAATATAGTCTTAGCCAAATGTCAATGGGACTGATATTTTAAAAATCTATTTTGGATGGTGCTAATGGATACAACTTCTATAAATTACATTTAGTAAAACTTTAAGTTATAAAAAGAAATGTAATTTTATAATTTAGATCAGAATTAGAAATATTTATGCATTATAAGCCCATTGCTGAAGTTAGGGAGTTAAATATGACTCTATTCCAGATAACAGATTTTTTTGTAGATACTTTTAATTATTAATATCACATTACTCTTACCAAGAAAACTAGCAATTCTTTATTTTTTTTTGATAAGACTAAATAAACAAACAAACAAACAAATAAATAAAAGACAATACTGATAAACAAAGATGAATGAGAGAATTAAAAAAAGCAATTAAAATTGTGCTTAAGGCACTCCTACTCAACATAGTTTGACATTGCTATACATTTCTTGTTTTATACTATTCTGTATTTCAAGTTTCTAAGTATGAATCCAATAGGAAAAAAATAGATAGATAGATAATGAATCTTTCCTATGAAGAAGGTATTATTATGTAGATTTTACAGATGAGGAAACTAAGGCTCAGAGACTTGTGCAAGATGCAAGTGGCCTGTTGTTGTGTGCTGTCTAGTTGAGTCGAACTCACAGTGACACTCTAGGAGAGAATAGAACTGCCCCATAGGGTTTACAAGGCCATAATCTTTATGGAAGCAGACTGCCATATCTTTCTCCCATGGAGTGGCTGGGTTTGAACTCCAACCTTTTGTTTAGCAGCTGAGCACTTAACCACTGTGCCATCAGAGCTCCCTAGAGGTGACCTAGAAATTGGAAATGAGTTTTGCATTACTCCCAAGTCCACTTTGTTTATATCTACTTCCTCCCATTAGGAGATTAATTTGTATACTGTTATTAATCTTGTCCATACATGCCATGTCATGTCTAAATTCTTCTGTTGGCTCTCAGGCCTCCATATAACTAGGCCCTACCCTCACCACTCAATCATGTTTCCTACTCGCCAGTCATTCCCATCATGGAAGTCTCACAGCAAGTATATTGCTCTATCTTGCCTTGTGCCTGCTCTCCTACTGGTCCTCACTTCTGCAATTATTCTGTCTTCTAGATCCTTCTTTTCCTACAAGCCTTGGCTCAAGATCTTCATCCTTGAAGATTTTCCTGAGTAGATCCCATTGATATCCTCATTGATACTTTTCATTCTTGAAGAGCAACATCATACTTACTGATAAAAGGCCCTCATTAGCACACAAATGAGCTCTGTCATATATAGTCATTGTTGCTGATGTTGTTATCCTTCAAGGCGTCCTATTTCTGTTTCTTCTACTGCAGCAGGAGTCTTAACTGCCACACTAATACATATTTATCAGTGGCCAAAATATACAAATATGCAAAGTCAAGTGTAAAACTTAGGGCTATGAGTCGGGGCCGACTCCACGGCACATAACAACAACAACAACATGCACAATACAATTTTATGTACTCAATATATAGCTGTTGATGATATAGCTCAATTTGAGTTAGTCTTCTTAACTAAACCTCAAAAGTTATTTATGAGATAGATAACCCTGAGAATGCTTTTAGATGATAGCATTTCCGAGAACTATATGACATAGCATTCAGTTAATATATCAAGATTTAGAATTTGAAAACATATGATGAGGCAAAATGTTTGACTCTGCCAACTAATATATACTGAAGTCTCAGGAAGTATAAAAATAGTTATTCTCCTTCACTTTTACTTCTATTGAGCATGAAAATATTTGCTTTCTAATCTTAGTTGCTGTTAGCTCCCATCAAGTCGGACTCCGCATGGTGACCCTATACACCAAGGAATGAAGCACTGCCCAAACCTGTATCATCCCCATGGTTAGCTGAGGATAGGATCACCGTGATTCATAGGCTAATCTTGGTACTTCTCTTAAAAATCTTTGTTGCTCCTAATTGCCTAACTCCTAATTTTGGTATACAAGGCTCGTCAAAATCTGTTCTCAATCTAGCTCTCAGGCCAAATATCTTACCACTCACTGCACTCTTGGCCACAGTGGTCTTTATACATTATTTCCATCCGCTGTGTCTTTGTATCTGCAATTCTCATTTCTGTCTGTTTTTCCACCTCTATTTTTGCCTGGTAAACTCCTACTCACTCTTCAAGATCCAGTTTAAATGTTACCTTCTCTGATTTAGCAGCTCCTTAAGGAAAATTTAATTGTAGTCATCCATATGTATACTTGTTTTCCTCCATAGTGAGCTATCAGACATCAGGGATATTGTCATATTAATCTTTGTGTACTCTTCGCCCCTGGCACAGAGTAGAAGCTCAATGAAAAGTTGAAAAAATGGAAGAATATTTTGAAAGTCTGTTAGAGACAGATTTTGTCTTCCCAATTAAATATAGCCATTTACAGTTTTCCTGTAGCTATAAAGTAATGGGAAGTGAACACTGAGTATTATTTTGACATTTTCAAAGCCCGCATTAAGTATTTTTTGCCTTAAAGAGACGACATATAACAATTTAAAAATGGCTTTAAAAAATGTCTTTCTGTAATTCCCCAGGCATATCAAACTTTCTGCATTTTATTGTTCTCTGGAGAGAACTAAATATTAATAAAGCAATTTACAAAGCAGAACCAACTTACTTTATTTCGGTCTTGTACAATCAATATTTTCCGAGTATTTTCATCAAATACAGCTCCTGTTGTAGGAAAAATAAACATAGTCAGAAATATTAATTTCACTCACTTAGACTCCTCCTATATTATTATCTATGGTCATCATAATCTTTGAAGGTCTAGTTTAAATACTGCTTTATCTACAAAGATTTGCAAGATCTCTCCAACCAGGAACTCATTGCTCAGTCCTTTCTACACTATAACAACTTCAACAAAGTATCAATTATAGTTCTATCATATGCTAAACTGTGTAGTATAATCATCTGCATAAATTTGTCTACGTTGTTTTTTCCTGACTGTGGTGGTTGTTGTTAGGTGCTGCCAAATCCGTTTCAACTAATAGTGACTCTAGGTAAAATAGAATGAAACACTGCCTGGCTCTGAGCCATCCTCACAATTGTTGCTATGTTTGAGCCGTTGTTGCAGTCACTGGGTCAATCCATCTTGCTTAGGGTCTTTTTTTTGCTGACCCTTTACTTTACCAGTAATATATCAGGCAATGTTTTACTGCTATTCATAAGGTTTTCAGTGGCCATTTTTTTCAGAAGTGGATGGCCTCATCCTTCTTCCCAGTTTGTCTTGGTCTGGAAACTCTGCCAAAACTGTCCACTATGGGTGACCTTGCTGTGTCTGAAATACTGGTGCCATGGCTTGCAGCATCACAGAAACACACAAGCTAGCACAGTGTGACAAACTGACAAAGGAGTGGTGGTGAAGCAGTATATTGACAGGGACCTGCTAGACATTCAAGCTGGATTCAGAAGAGGGTGTGGAAATAAGGGGTATCATTGCTGATGTCAGAAGGATATTGGCTGAAAGCAAAGAATACCAGAAAGAATACCAAGAATGATGTCATTCTCCAGGGACTTGTCCCTCCTGATTACATGACCAAGGTCCATTAAAGGAAGTCTTGCCATCTTTGCTTCTAAGGAGCATTCTGGATGTAATTCTTCCAAGACAAATTTGTTTATCTTTCTGGCAGTCCATGGTATATTCAATATTCATCATCAGCATAATTTAAAGGCATTAATTTTTCTTCAGTCTTGCTTATTCATTGTGCAGCTTTCACATGCATATGAAGCAACTGAAAAAAAACCATGGCTTGGATCAGGTGCACCTTAACCCTCAAAGTAAAATCTTTGCTTGTGAACATTTTTAATAGGTCTGCCCAGTGCAGTATATTGTTTGATTTCTTCACTGTTGCTTCCATGTGTGTTAATTGTGGATCCATGTAACATGAAATCCTGGACAACTTCAATATTTTCTGTTTATCATGATGTTGCTTGGTGAGGACTTTTGTTTTCTTTATGTTGAGGTGTAATCCATACTGAAAGGTGTCGTCTTTGAACTTCATCAGTAAATGCTCCAAGACCTCTTTGCTTTCAGCAAGCAAGGTTATGTCATCTGCATTATCACAAGTTGTTAATGAGTTTTCATCCAATTCTGATGCTGTGTTCTTCTTCAGATAGTCCAGCTGCTGGGATTATTTCCTCAGCATGTAGATTAAGTATGGTAAAAGGATACAACCCTGACACATAACTTTCCTGATTATAAACCATGCAGTATCCCCTTGTTCCATTCAAACTACTGCCTTTTGGTCTATGTACTGTTCCTCTTGAACACAATTAAGTGTTCTGGAATTCCTATGCTTTCCAATGTTATCCATGATTTGTTATGATCCACACTGTTGAGTGCCTTTGCATAGTCAATAAAACACAGGTAAACATCTTTTTGGTATTCTCTGCTTTCAGCTATGATTCATCTGGTATCAGCAATGATGTTCATTATTCCACAGCCTCTTTTGGCTTGAATTTCTGGCAGTTCCCTGTCAATATATTGCTACAACTCCTTTTGAATTATCTTCAGCAAAATTGTACTTCTGTGTAAAATTAATGATATTCAATAATTTCCTCATTCTGTTGGATCATTCTTTGAATGGGCACAAATATGGATCTCTTCCAGTCATTCTGTTCCAAATTTCTTGGCCCAGACAAGTGAGCACTTCTAGCACTGCATCCATTTGGTGAAGCATTTCAATTGATATTCCATCAATCTCTGAAGGCTTGTTTTTCACCAATGCCTTCAGTACAGCTTGGACTTCCTCCTTCAATAGCATCATCAGTTTTTGATCATATGCTACCTCCTGAAATGGATGAATGTCAACTAATTCTTTTTGGTACAGTGACTCGGTATTCCTTCCCTCTTCTTTTGTGTTTCCTGAGTTGTTCAATATTTTGCCCATAGGGTTCTCAAGGCTTGAATTTCTCTTTAGTTCTTTCAGTTTGAAAAATGCCGAGCATGTCCTTTCCTTTTGGTTTTCTAATTCCAGGTCTTTGCACATTTCTTTGTAACACTTTATTCTGTCTTTGCTATTCTGCCCTTTGAAATCTTCTGTTCAACTCTTTTTCTTCATTTCATCTATTTGTTAAAGCTACTTTACATACTAGAGCAAGTGTCAGTCTCTTTTGACATTCATTTTGGTATTCTTTCTTTCCTGTCTTTTTAATGACCTTGTGCTTTCTTCATGTATGATGTCCTTGATGTCATCCCACAACTCATCTGGTCTTACTCAAGGATGTATTTTGCCTCTAATGGACTTGCTTTAATTTTCTTCTGCTTCAACTTGAACTTGCTTATGAACAAATGATGGTCTGTTCCACAGTTGGCCTCTGGCCTTTTTCTTACTAATGATATTGAGCTTCTTCATTATTTCTTTCCACAGATGTAGATTTGATTCTTGTGTATTCTGTCTGCTAAGGTCGATGCATGTAGTCACAGTTTATGTATTTGTAATGAATGAATCATTGGTCTTGCAAACGTCTATCTAGTAATCTCCCACGTTGTTTCTATCACCAAGGCCATATTTTCCAACTACTGATCCTTTTTCTTTGTTTCCAACTTTTGCATTCCAATCACTAGTAATTATCAATGCATCTTGATTACATGTTTGATCAATTTCAGACTGCAGAAGCTGGTAAAAATCTTCAGTTTCTTCATCTTTGGCTTTAGTTGTTATTGTTATTGTATGCCATTTAGTCGGGCCCAACTCATAGAGACCCCTCCTTGGGTTTCCAAGGCAGTATCACTACGGAAGTAGATTGCCCAGTCTTCCTTCCGAGGAGTGGCTGGTGGATTTGAACCGCCAGCCTTCTTAGCCACTATGCTACCAGAGCTCCTTTGCCTTTAGTAGTGGTGTGTAAATTTGAATAATAGTCTTATTAACTGGTCTTCCCTATAGGCATATGGTTATTATCCTATCATACCAGCACTGCACTTCAGTGTAGACCTGAAAATGTTCATTTTGATGATGAATACGATGTCATTTGGGGCAGAGTGGATCATATGATTGTCCAATTAAAAATAGCCAATATCAGTCCATTTCTGGTCACTAATGCTTAGGATATTGATCTTTATGTTTTCCATTTCATTTTTCACAATTTCTAATTTTCCTCTATTCATATTTCATACATGTCATGTTCTAATTATTAATGGATGTTTCCAGTTCTTTCTTCTCAGCTTGAGTCAAGTCACATCAGCAAATAAAGGTCCTGAAATCTTTAATTAATCCACATCATTACGATTGACTATACTTTGAGAAGGCAGCACTTCTCCAGTCATATTTTGAGGGTCCTCCAACCTGAGGGACTTATCTTCTGGCACCATGTAAGACGATGTTCTGCTGCTACTCATAAGGTTTTCACTGGTCAATTATTTTAGAAGTAGACTGCCAAGACCTTTTTCCTAGTCTGTCTTCATCTGAAAGCTTTGCTGAAAGCTGTCCACCATGGGTGATCCTGCTGGTATTAATTGGTATGCAATTAAAAAAACTTATACTGTCCTTTTGTAGTATTTATTTTGGTTTCCAGACAATTACAAGTGCTTAAAAATATTTACTGAATAAACAAATTGACTTCTCCATTTTCATTTTTAATCTTGAATCACTATGTATGTAACACAGGCTGTGCGCCCTTGACAATCTAAATCTCCAACATTTTTCAGTATTCAGTTTGACACCTCCCTGAAGCAATTTAATTTTCCTCATCATGGACATATGCAACTTTATAGCACAACAACATATTGCTTTGTTATACTTCTTTATTTCATATATGTCTTAAGTTCCAGTCCATTTCTTTCATTTATTCATTCATCATACACAATGCTCAGCACAAAAAGCATTTTGCTAGATGTTAAGAATCTAAAAATAAATAAGGAATTTTTCTTTCCTTATAATTTCCTTTGGGAAGTCCTAGGTCAAAAATACAAATGACATTTCAATGATTAATATTAGATTTCTTTAAATATTTTAGTTTAAAAATATTTGTATTTACATAACCAAAAAAACCAAACTCACTGTCATAGCGACCCCTCCTTGGGTTTCTAAGGCAATATTACTACAGAAGTAGACTGCCCAACCTTCCTTCCAAGGAGTGGCTGGTGGGTTTGAACTGCCAGCCTTTTGGTTAGCAGTGAAATGCCTTAGGCAATACAATACACCACTGTGGGATAATACTTTTTAGAAGATATTTTATACGTATTTATCTATTCTTTCAATATTAATTGAGCTATAATATAGTACATACAGTATAAAGTATATGTTGTTTCTGCGTGCTGTTGAATTGATTCTGCCTCATAGCAATCTTGTGTCACAGAGTAGAACTGACCCATAGGGTTTTCCCCACCACTTGCCTGCTATTATGTTGTACTGTGGTGCCTTGCATGTTGCTGTGAGGCTAGAGACTCTGCCACTGGTATTTTAAATACCAGCAGGGTAACCCATGGTGGGCAGGTTTCAGTAGAGCTTCTAGATTAATACAGACTCAGAAGAAGGGGTCATCCACTTCTCAAAGAACTGGCCAATGAAAACCTTATGAATAGCAGTGAAATATTGTCTTCTATATTACTGGAAAATTTTATGAATAGCTCTGAAACATTGTCCGATATAGTGCCAGAAGATTAGCCCCTCAGGTCAGAAGGCACTCAAAATACGACTTGGGAAGAGCTCCCTCCTCAGAATAGAGCTGAC